GGTTACATTAGAATGATATTTTATAATATTATTTCTAAAATATTGCTCGTCGAATTAATCGTCGAACAATTAAAAAGAAAAAAGAATCAATGATTCTTTTTCCTCGATTGATTTGATTTTTTAATTTAAAATTCTGAAGATTTAGATTTTTGGACTCGATCGAGGATGAAAAATATGCAGAGTGATTCGTAACCGTACATCAATATTTCTAGGGAAAATCTGGGGGGAAAAGTAAAGGAGACATGTTCCATAAACTTGATGTCATTTTTGTTTCGTATTTATTTTTTGATAAAAAAAAGAAAGAAAAACTTGAGTTTATGAAACATTTCTTTTGTAATCACAGATTTATTCATTTTGAAATATTGATGCACGATTAAGCATCATTCTTTTATGATAAAAAGGATGATTCAGAAATTATGGATCGTTGAGTTCTTTACAAAACATTTTGTATTTTTACATAATAATCAATTATCCAAAAAAAGTATCCGTAAAAATTGGATAATATTTAATATTAACTAAAAACATAAAACTATTCTTACGTATCTCATAATTTTTGACTTGACCTTTCTGAAAGAAATAATTAATAAAATACAAGGTATTTCTTCTATACGTGAAGAGCTTAATAAAAAAATGAATTTTTATATAATTTACTTTCTATAGTATATTTTCAAATAGCATATTATCGCCATTTACATAATATTAACCCCGTAAATGGTGACTGTATCATTTAATACACCTCAAAGACTAATCCCAAAGTTATATTTTGCCATCATATTTTTCCCTAGAATCAATAATATCGCTTTTCACAACGTGATCAAACGATACAGAAATTTCCTGCACAATCTCGCCCAAATCTTCATCATCCATCCTCACAACCTCTTACGTATAAAGGGACACCTTGTATAGAGCAGCAAACTTTTCCAAAATTCTAACGCACCAAACGCTTGACTTGAATGCCACTTACGCTCTGCACTCTTTTCTCTTGTCTGTTCTATGTGTTCTTTTCTTTACGCCACATTCGACAACCATCTTCAACCACCAATCAATCGTCTCCGACCAATCATTGCATATAATATGTGTTGTATCGATCATTCAAAAATACAAAAAAAAAAAAAAAAAAAAAATCTCGTACAACATGAATTCTATGAATATTCGAATTCGAATCTTCTCCATCGGACTGTTCAACGATCGATCGATTAAAAAACG